ATTTTATCCAAAATATTTTATTTTGCCGAAATATTAAAACACATTTTATATTTATATATTCATATATACATATATATTTATTTTTATATAAATTAAGGTTAAATTTAATCTTAATAAATCTCGTTTCAAGGTAAATAAAACAGAATAAATCAACTTAAGCTGTAAAATCACAATAAAATTAAATTTATATTTAAATTTATATAGGTGCTAAAGTGAACAAAATATTATTCTTTCAGGATTTTTAATAGCAAATATACTCTCAGTTTGTCTTAAATACACCTGAAATTAATCCTTAAGTTTGTTGTATTTAAATATAAAATGTTCCACTAAGTGCTCAAAGAGCTTTAATACAAATCCGTTCTGGCCATCTTGTGTCGCTCCAAAGCCTTCCTCAAATATTAAGAGAATGCATTAAGTATACGCAGTGTGATCAAAATGCAATTATTTCTATTATCTAGCATGCGATATCAGTCTAAATTGATATGCATACACATCTGTCGGCTGCTGCATATGCGGATTTAATCATGTTAAATCTGCTCAAGCACTGGTCAAGCAGCCGGACAGGCCGGGGCCGGGTCGGCCGTAATGCAGCTCAACAACTTCTGTTGACAGGCCTAAATAATTACTTAAAGGGAATTTACTAACAGGCACACAATATTTATGAATGCGTAATTAAAGTTATTGCAAATGTGTTTTGCCTGATTGGATTTTCGGGCTGGAGCTGTCAAACTAAGCTGCCGTTCAATAAACTAAGCTGAGCGCAAAGGCAAAAGGCAGACAGCTGCAGGCAGGGGGCAGGATGCAGGATGCAGGAGGCTGGCAGCTGTCGGCTGCACGATGCAGGACATAATTCGCAGGCGTCATATTTGTTAAGTGTGCGGCTTTCGGGCTTGCAATATTTAATGCAAAGGCCTATGCCCATGCCCATGCCCATGCCAATGCCAATGCCAATGGCTTGAGGCCAGAAAACCTCAGCTCTAATACGGCTCTGCAGTCGTCTCTCTCTCCGCCCACAGCTCCTTTCAGGCGGCCGCAACACTTGGACCACAGACCACGTGGACCGCACAAAATAATCAAGTTTTGTTTTGCTGCTCGATTTGGATTTGCCACATGAGCCATGCCCACTAACAGCAATTTGTGCGCCTACTCTGCTCGCTCGCTCGCTCGTTCGCTCGCCTGCCTGCCTGTCTGCTTGCCTGATTGCAGCGGTTTTCGGGGGCGTGGCTAAGGCGAACGCCTCAACATACCATTGCGTACTCGGCATATGCGAATTTCCTGTAATAGATCTTGTGGCAAACATAAACTGCATGTTAAATGCCTTTGCCTGCGGCCCACTGATGACTGTGCGAGTGTGTGCGACTGTGTATCGTTGTGTGTGCGTGTGTGAGCAATGTGCGTGCGTCATGCTCAAATGATAAATTGTTACAGGCACGACCTGTCGGGCGGCAGGCAACATTGCTGAAGTATGCTGAAGAGTAGCCGCGGTGGGCGAGCGGGAGAGAGGAGGAGTGAGGAGAAATCATGCATTACCATGTTGCAGAGCGAAGATGGAGCAGTCGTTGTGATAGCCAGAGATAACATACAATGCATAATAGTTGATGCCACACAATTTACACATATTAAGTAATGCTACCGGTAAGACGATGAGTCTCTGCCTCTCTCTCTGTGTGTGCGTGTGCGTGTGCATGTGTGTGGGTGTGTGTGTGATAAGTGTGCAGCGGTCAACGCTAGCTGCAACTAGACAAATTGCAACAACATATCCTTTGGTCAGCTAAAGGATTCAATGGCCTCGTTTGCATAAGCGATTATTGTGCATTCGCCCAATGAAGTCATGTGAACTACTTTCTGTTTATATATCTCTATAGCTCTCTATCTATATACACATATATATTTGTATATATATATATACATAGATCTTGGAATACTCAAGTCCAGCACAGCTGTGTCTTGGGCATTCTGCTATACTAAGCATGCATAATTAGAAATGCTAATGGAAATTGGGAAGTCATATATTTATGGAACTTCATTTCATGCTGTGACTAGCTGCACAGCAGGTGAATAATTTGATTTTGGTTGCGACTGTCTCTATGAATATCTTGAGAGAATACTGCTCTCTGTTGACAAACCTGCGGATATTTCGCTAGGTAAACAGGTATTATATATACTGTAAATTAAAATATATATTATTTTATATAATTATTTTCTTGTTGCTTGAAAAAAAAAAAAATGATATGCTATTTATTTTAAGATTTAAACTGTAACTTTGATTCTTCATAATGAATTTTGCCTTGCCAAAGAAGAAGAATGAATAGCTGACTAGAGAATTCCTTAAAAGGAAGCCGCAATAAGAAAAGGACCGTTTTTTTTTTTAATATATTTATGAAAAGTTTAATTTTTTTGATTCCTGCATTTCTTCTTTTGAACATTTACAAATGCAATTTTGTAAAGAAAGATTGTATTAAATATTTATATATAAAGCAATTTTCATTGCAGGTCAAATTATATATATTTTAAGATTTTCTTGTATTCATTTATAACTGATTTTCATATCGGGATTTTCATTAAAATTAAAAAAAAAAATATTCTCTGTTTTATTACATTTTTTTTCACGTGTTACTCCAACTTGAATTTCTATATAATATGTAATGGAATAGATATTGATCTGTTGTTAGAGTAGACAAGTTGCTCTTTTCTCATATGAGATTATCCCGATTTGGAATTTCTCTTACTCTTGATAGTCGTTTCTTAGTCTGCGGCCTTGGTTTGCAATCAAAACAAACAAATTGCTAAAACTATTTCGATTTGTTAATGTTGCATATGCACAGGCAGCTCTTGCTGATGATATCAGCTGGAGCTATAGAGCTAGCACAGTATGAGTTTTCCCTTTACAATTACACATAGCGCACACACATACATATTCAATATCCTGTATTGGTGCAGCTGCAGCTGCAGCAGCTGGAGGAATGAATGTGAGCTTCAAGTGCTTTGACGCTTTTATTTTGCCAATAAATTGTGTTTTGCGTACATCTTTGTGGGTCAGCCGGAAATGTATTTTGATTTAAAATGCGTAAAGCGTTGCGTATACGTAATGTGAGCCCAGTTGCATATACATACACGTACACACGCACACACACATGCGAGGCGAACGAACGAATAAATATAGCAACGTCTACGATGTGGGTTCAAGGGAAATGGTAGCGTTTGAGCTCGAGTTTGAGTTGCAGTTGCTTTTCTGCTTGCCTTTGCCTGGGCGCTGCATGTCAAGTGGAAAATTAAGATTGATTACGGCAGATAAGCCGTTGAATTTACAACGAATTTAATTGATTGCATGTGCACTCGACTGTGTGAGGGAGTGTTCATGTGTGTGTGTGTGTGAATATCGTATTTGTATGTCATGTCAACCTTCAAGTGGCAGCCTGTCAATTGCTTAGTGCGCGCTAACGTTGAAATGCTCAACTTGCAATTTAATTGCTTGGCCAGCCAAAAAGGTTTTCCCATTTCTCGCTTTCGCTATTTTTTTTTCTTCATTCTTGTTCGCCCTTTTTGTGTGTGCAGCCCTTTCGACAAAGTTCGTGGAGCAAGTTCCTTGCACCTGGCAACAGCTCGTTAAGGTGCCAACAGCGAGCGCACAAAAGAAAAGCTGCGGCAATAAGGCAAAGATGATGCTAACCGCAGCAGCAGCAGCAGCAGCAGCATCTCGCGGCAGCAGCAACTCGCAGCAAAGCGCAGCAGCAAAATTTGTGGCGGTTTTGATGCCCTATAAATTATTTGTGGATGCCAGCCGGGAGTTGTGCCATAAAGTTTGACAGACAAATAATAGTCAAGGTGGTGAAATGTGAATTGTGAAAGCTGAAGTTTCTTTCCGATATTAAGTAAATGTCAAGGTCTGTGCCAATTTTTTAATATAAAATAATTAATTGAATTAAATTAAAAATTAATTAATTATTATTTGGCTTTTATATT